AGATTTATTATAACTCTCTAATATCTAAAATCTATACAAAATACCAAGGATTTATTGGAGAGATCTCATCTATCTGCCCAAAGAAATTTACATCTTAGTAATGACATACATAGATGACTTTTTATGGATTGCATCTAATAAAACCTTTTTTATTAACATCTTCTATACAGCTTTTTTCTTTTATAAATTTGCCAACATAAGAGTTAATCTTACTAAGTTAATTTTAGCAACAAACTTAAAAGATCCAGATAATAATATAATGTTCAAAAATGACTAATTAATAGCAATTACTAGTGAAACACTATTTAAGTATCTAGAAGCATGGTTTTCTACCAACAAAAAACAAACACTTGTTTAAAAAAAAATTATAACTAAGATAATAATTAATTTATAAAAGCTACAATTTGCTTATATAACAGAAAAACAAGCAATTTATATAATAAATATTGTTACTAGTTTAGTCAAATACAAAGCAAGGCTGGCTTGAAAAGTTCCAAACTCATTTCTATTTAATCCAAATATTTACACTATAAGTAATCTAGCTCAGGCTCAACTTTCTTTTTTAGTAACAGTATTTCAGAAAAATTTAAACCATCATAGCTTCAACTTTTTCTTCTTAAAGTTATAACTACAACAATTACAAGACTTAGCATTTACTTACACTTTTATTCTTATCTAACTTTCAGTTTTCTTAGCTTTACAATTATATATACAAACCAGCCAAATAGTATTCACACTTTATGTCTTAAATCTATAGACCTTATGAAATAGTAACAACTGGCCCTACTTCAAAACTTTTACTAAAACTTCAATAAATCAAATTCTTTTAAATTATTCTAAAGCTTCTTATCTTAAAAAAAAACTAAATAATTATAACATTGCTAGCATAAAACAATTCTTAAATGCAACCAACTTAGAGCTTCTAGAATGGAATAACTTTTATTATAATATTAAAAAGATACTAAAGAGACATTGTTCATACTGGTTTCTTATAGTTTAAGACTTAATAGCAGTCTCAATTAATTCTTCATCAATATTTCCACATATGAATCTTTACATCTTGTTTCAATAAAATTCTAAAAAGAAAGATTGAATAATTACAGATAATTCTATTATTGGCAAGATACATAATTCTTACAACAAAGTTCTTAAAGCTCAGTACTACATTCTAAAGCCAAACAACATACTATTAACTTGTGCAGGCTGTAATCTAAATAATCAATCATATTGCTCTAAATATTGCTACTTCAAAGAGGTGTGGTGACTTAGTAAAGTAGTTAAGTTGTCAACTCTCCAAGTGGTAGATTGGAAGTTCAAAACCTACCAATGACAAAAATTTGAAAAACTACCTATATTATATTGGTATTACAGAAGGTAAGTAGTATTATAGCAATAGCATTTTGTCGATCAATTGAAATCAGTATCTGTAACATGGTTGCACCAGATAACTGGCAGGTCATAGGGCATCTATGCAATATTAGAGTTATACAGAAAAATGCAAACTGGCATCAGGCAGTGCAAACTTAAGATAAGTCCTTACAGTTGTATAAATCTGTGAACTGGAAAACTGAAGCCTACTTGGAAAGACCTGAATAGAGAAATAATATAGATCTTTAATAGTACTACTATAAAGGCTAGACTTAGGAACAGATACTAATGTAGAAGAAATCAGGTAAATAAGAATCTTGGGTAAAGAGTACCACCAACTAGGCTGCCAGAAGTTTTGAACTGAAGGAAAAGGACCTTGAGAGGCAGACTCTGAAGTATCAGAGACAGTGCATAGTCCTATCAGACTATCTGGATTGGAAGTTTAAGGTCAGAAACAGGGATATACAGTTAGACCTCCATAAATGCATATTCTCTAAGTGCATATTTACAAAAGACCTCTCTAAATGTATGGCCTTGTTTTTCTCCAATTCATATGACACTTATAGATTTCTACCTTTCTAAATGCAATATCTCTCTAAATGCAAGATTTTTTGGCCGCCCCACAGCTATGCATTTAGAGAGGTCTGACTGTACTATAAGTACTAAAGATATGCTATGAAGTTGGTACTGAGGTCTAGGTGAACTCTGCAAGAGTGAATCCTGTTAACAAGATACTAAATGTGGGTAGTTAGTTAGCAGGAAGGCCCTCTGAAGCTCTACAGTCAGATGACATACTCTGAAATGTGTAATGGCTTAATGGATATATAGACAGGAAGGTTATAGTTAGGTTAGATAGCACTTTGATATATAGAAACTTGTGTACTATTTGTTAGTATAAGTATAAAGATCAGAATGTTTAAATAGATAATCTTCTAGTAGATTGCAGGTATGGCAGCTAGTATAAAACTTGTTATGCAGGTGGACTACTTAAAATAGACAACCAAAAGTTGTACATATGGCTAGTTGTATACTCACCTTGTACAAGTTATGTAATCATAATTAAAATATAATAAAGGCAATAGCTACCGATAACTATAGCCTTAGCATAAGCAAAAAAAAATAATAATAATATTGCTACTTCAATGTAACAACTCCATTATATAATATACAAGTAAATTGTAAAAAAAAAATTTACTTTGACATTGCTGATTTTAAAAAAGATTAAATTATACCTTATCAACAACTATAATTCAAGAGCAAATACAAGATATAAACCTAATACTAAAAAGACCTCTATGTTCTTTTGAAATCCTCTAGTTAATCTTTGAAAAACACTAACAGAAGCTAACTTTACTATTAAAATACTAATAATTCACTTAATCTCTAACTAGCAAATAGTAAACAACAACTCACAAATAATAGCAATATGCTATATACAAAACACCAATACCTGTTTTGGTTGTTTTACTAACCAATAGTCTTCATATATAAGTATAATACTTAATCTACTAAACTTCATTTTTACTACAATTATCTCATATACAAAAGTAAACATTTGTACAGACAATCCTACTTTCACTAATTTTATCAACTTGGTAATTTCAGTTAAGACTTACAACTATTTTGTACTAGACAAGTAGCAGCATACATATTTTCTTCTAATCCTAAAAACATTTTCATATAAACAGATACTTAACATTACTCTAGATCAAAATATCAAAATTAAATAAACTATAAGCATAATTTTTCCATTAGACCCAGCATTGCAATGTTTTCTATACAATTGTTTCATTCCAAGACTTCTTAACAAACTATGTAAATATCTTCTAAAAACTACCTTAAAACATATATATCAAATTACAAATTGACTGTTATAGTTTTACTAACAACAGATTTCAGGCTAATATATATTACAAAACACCATTGATTGGGCTTCTACATTAAAATATATTTCTTATAAAGAAAAACTATTAGTTTTAAACACTTATCCATCATCTTTAATAATTAAAAACTTCAAAATCAAGTTGTTATCAAAAGAACTTCCAACCTACCTACTATTGTATTAGAGAAATGGCAAAAAATATCTGAACTACTTATGTTCAAGATGTTGTAGTATCTCTGAGAAGATTGTTTATTTATTAATTTGCATTCAGAATTACATATAGTTTTCAACTTTAATTAGACAAATAGTATATAAAACTTTACGAAAATTAGAAATACCATGTTTATACTTAAATGGCTTTGTCAGAACATTTGTTACTACACATATAACCAAGCAGATACTACTAGAACTTATTATTAGAAACACATTAATACCTTTTGACATAAATAATCACAAACACAAATATGTTCTACTAATACATTATAACATTATTACTGCAATATACAAAACAATTTGACTTGTTTCTAGAAAGTCAAATCATGATTTAATTCTTCCAACACCTGCCCCAATACAAGCTCTAATATTAAACAAAATTAAACCATTAACTTCATCTTTTATAGAAAGAAAACTAATTAGATATATAAACAATAGATAATCTTCTCTAACACATCTTCTCAAAGACTAGAGGTTTAGTGACCATTCTAGCAAAGAATAGGTCAAGAGTAAAGTAGCTCTTACTCCCATCTCCCCTAATATAGTTTTTTCACATGTATCTGTTTTATATATGTACAATTGACTATAAATAAAAGAGACCTCTCTTTAAAAAAAAAAATAAATCTGATTAGTAATCTTTATTATATAGATATGATACAGTACATGTGTATATTTGTTTGCCTTCTGTATGAGGCATTATGCGATCATATAATATTTAAAAAAACTGGTTAAACGAATAACTTAACGGTTTTTAATCGTTTATAAAATTTTTACTCGTTTAGCTGTATAATATAAATAAACGATTATAGGTGGTTAAACGAATAATGGTTCCTTGATATACATGTCCCTCTGGTTATATCGACATTTATGAGACATTAGCAAAAATTTTCCACATGTCGATACAGTAAGTTATACCGACATTTTATATTAAAATTTCGAAAAAAAATGTCGGCATAGAAAGATTTTGCTATGATGTTATAACCAGAGTGACGTCTAATTATTTTCTATGTTTTTCAATATCAACCTATACTTGACAGACAATCCCAAACTTTCAAGAAAAATTTTAGTTTATAAAAAAAATTTGAAATCAATAATATATGCTTTGTTTAAAATAAAGATCATTAATGAAATTTTTTTGAGAATTTAGTTTAGATTTGGGCACAAACAAAACTAATTTTATAATAGTATTAAATTTAGTCGATTAATTAATTTCAAGATAAATCCACTAAAGTGAAAATCGAATTCTTTAACAGGGCTTGTGTATACTTCGCAATTTACAAAAAATTTACGTATTAATAAATCACCATATAAAAGATCTCTTTTGATAATAGGTAGACTCTCTTTGTACCGTGCGATTTCTGATTTTTTGGAGGCTATAAAAACTTTATTCCACAATTGGTGCTTGAGCCCAAATTGGTATGTGGAAAAGCATGATAAACCCACTTTCTGATAACGGGCTCCACTTGCACCTCGCTCGTGCCTGTTGCCAGTAGCAGGTCTTTAAAATCAGACCTGAGGATCGGCCTGAGCTCGTACTCTAAAGACCTGATACTGGCAATAGGCACGGGTGAAGTACAAATGGAGTCCACATACCAATTTCGGCTCAAGCAGAGTCCTAGTTAAAACTATGTTAAAGCTAAGTTAAAGTCATATGTGATGCTAATTATCGCGTGGTTTGGGCCGTCCCAAAAGTTTGGATGGCAACTATAGATAGTCCATGTGACTGATTTATAGTCAACGTTCTCTTTCGAAAGCTATTATCACAAAAGACTTAATTCAGCTGTCTTAGCGTTATTGACCTAAAAAATTCGCTGCTAGATTAGAGTTAGGTATTGCTATAATTTAGGTTAGAAAGAGTTTTCTAATACCAAAATTTCACAAGGAAATCTTTTTGTTAATCGCCAAAGGTAGTTTCGTAGGGTTATGAATGATTTTTTGGTTTGATTTTGTGTTTCTTCTGCGTAACACCTGTTCTTGAACTGATGAACTGATCGCACTTAATATGTTAGATTTTTAATATATTTTATTGATTTGAAACTAGTGAATTATATTGCGTTTATTTATTTATTTTATAAAAACCAACGGTAATCACTTTTAAAGAATTGTAATTTGACTAAAACTATCTGTAAAAAGTTCATGAAGGGTCAAGGAAATCCCGGGCTGAAGATCGCTGAAGATCACTTCCGACCCTAACCGGATCCAATAAAATTACAGGATCTCGTGTAACAAAACAAACGTGAAAAACATAGGGAATTGTAAAAAAAACGTAAATAACTCAAAAATTACTGACAACTAACTTCCGACCTCTAAATAAAAGTTTTCAGCATGAAATTTTATTCATAGACACAATATTTGATGTTAGATATATAGGAAATTTTTGAGATACTACGGACCCATATTTTTTGGTCGGCAGCTCGGGATTTCCTTGACATAAGGGCACTCGTTTATGAACAAACCTTTTGTAGATCTTAAACCATTTTTCTCAAATATGCATTGACGCCAAGATTATCTACATATAATCATGTAACGGTAAGATAAAAAATTTATTTTGAAATTTCAAGAAACTAACTGGTTTTTGTAATAGTAAAAATGTTTGTTTATTATTAGAATCTGCTCCTAAAAATCAAGTTTATTTCGGAAAAACCTATAAACTTTCCGTTGATTTCAAAAAAAAAACAATGAATTTTTAATTACGCTACTGGATACGGAAATTTTATTGGCTTGGGAAAAAAAGATTGATCTCTTTCCTTTTATTTGCGTATTTATAAACTATTCAAATGAAATGACGTAATAAATTGAAAAGCTCTTTGTTTTACAAAAGGATATTTGAATGAGGAACAATGGAATTTTGTTTTTGGATTATGTTTTGATTATGATGATGCATCATATTATTCGCTAGAAATTGAGAAATGTCCATATTTAATCATCATTATTTTAATATTAATTCTATTCGTTATTTGTATGTAGAACAATCTCTCCTGATGCAAATTGACGTTGTAGTCATTATAAAAAGAATCATTATCGGAAATAAATAAACAATATTCCGTAACAAGAAAGAAATGACAATGTAAAATATTCATATGACAACAACGAACTATGTTATGGTTAAAATACTATATGTATAACTATGAATTATCATTACGGTTATTGATCTCATACACAGCACCAATGAGTGCTTTTTCATACCAGATTCTTTTTTAAAATTTTGTGTAGTCAAAATAAAATAAAATGATAAGACGATCCTCGATATATGTATAATTTTTTGAAAAATATTGTAAATGGAATGTAGTGAAAGAGGGCGTGAGAAATCCATTAAAGAATCTTGAATTGATAATTCCTAAGACCTGCGGTTGCATCTTGTATTCCCAGTAAAGTCTATATATTATTATTAACTTGTTATTTCAGGTGTCCATTATGTTCAAGTTACGTGATCTTGTGTGATGGACTTGTTTTTTTTTGGTAAAGATTTGATTTGGTATATAAAATAAGGTTTGTAAATTTTTTTTTTTAATCAATTTGCAATCAATTTTTTTTAAAGAAAAAAAATTACACGATGAGTGGTAAAAAATCTAAAGGAAAGAAATCAATTAGTCCATCGTTACCCTCGGAAACAATTAACGAAATATTTAAAAAGATTGATAATCAATCAACTTTGTATTCATGTTTATTCGTTAATCGATTTTGGTGCAGAAGCGTTGTTCCAATTTTATGGGCAAAACCTAATCCTCTTTTATTTAAAACTGGATCTTCAAAGAGTTTGATAGAATCTTACGTTTCATGTTTTAATCAAGATGAGAGAAGAATTTTATTTAGTAATGATGAATTATCCTCGGTTGATGATGATTTTTTACATTTACCAAGTCCTTTATTCGAATATGCTGCATTTTTGAAAGAATTAAATTATCCTGTTTTACGTAAGGCCGTTCGTAAATGTTATAAAACATTGGGAAATTATGAATTCAGTAAAAAAATTAAACCAAAAATACCTGGCCTAGAAGTCACCCGGCAAGCCACTATAATGAAAGCTTTATGTAAATTGTTCATGAGAAGCTCTCATTTAGATTCTGTGATTTTAGATTCTATTGATGATATTCCTGCTATATCGATATTTACAAGAAGTCCTTCACTTGCGAATCTCTCACAACTAGTAGTTCTGATAAATAATGAATCAAGTAATACTTCAATTCTTGTAAAAAAGTTATCTGTTATCTGCACGGGAATACGTCATTTAAAAATCGAATTATCCGTTGATGATCCAAGTGAAGCTGAAAATTTGTCAACGTTAATACGTGCTCAACAAAGTCTTTTAACTTTCGAGTTGACAGGTTTTGCTCCGAGAATCAATCCTATCCTGTCAGCATTGGAATCTCAATCTTCTTCTTTAACTTTTGTGAAATTTAATAATACTAATTATCAATGGGCTTCTCTTGATGTGTTGGGTAAATGTACAAACTTACGTACTATCGAATTTCACTCGGAAGATCAAAAAATCTCTCAAGAATTGACTGCTAAGGAAATTACATCTACAACGGTCTCGGGTGTTTCATTTTCTCTTCGAACTTTGAAACTAATCAATCAAACTCCAAAAGTTGCTTCTGCTGTTATAAAGACTGGTGGAAGTTCTTTAAAGAGTCTTTGGATAAACACGATAAATACCGAAGTTGTTCAAGCTATATTGAGATCTACTACTCGAATCGTACATCTTTATTTAGATGTTGCTGATATCCCTGAAATTAACATCGATAATTATTTACAATTGATTCATGGACTTAAATTGATCAATCTTCGTTTATCTTCAATTAACATGAAAAATCTTGATGCCTTGTTAACAGCAATGGTTAAGATCGTACCTTCCTCATTACGTCATTTTGAATTGGAACAGGATTACTCTTTACCTGCGCTAGGTGAATTTTTGTCAAATTGTCCTGTACCATTCAATGAATTATCTTTATTCCCAAATGCAGCCATTGATACTGAATATTTAACAACTGTTTTGAGCTTCACCAAAGAAAGAAAATCTTTAAAATATTTACATCTTAATTTGTCATGGGAATATGGACTAGCCACTGGAAAATTCACTAGGGATATGGATAAAGAGATACAACAATGTATTTATACTATTAATCTTGATTTGCTTAGGTGTGATTATGAAACACCTAAAAAGCGTATTGTTACTTAAGTTTATATGGATGGTTTTTTCATTTTTCGACGCGATGATTTTAGTATCTAAATTATCGTGCGAGTTATTTATTTTTGGTATCATGCATTTATTGAATGGTATCTTTGTAAAATAGTTCATATATATCATTTTTTCCTAGGATATTTTTAGATGAACTTATTTATGTGTACATATATTTGGCATTTATTTTTGGTCTCTTTTTTTTTAACGTATTTTTCAATCTTGGCTTTTTTAAAAGATGTACATATGCAATATACAAAATAAAAATAGCAGATACTCGTTCAATGTGTATAAAAATAATCTATGCCTCTTTGAAATCTTTGCATTATTGAAGATATTTCACGCAATGCTATTCCAGGCCTAACATTTACGTAACAAGTGATGATATAAATATGTATATCAGTCGGTCCAGATTAGAGTTGTCTGCTGCAGGGTTGCAACTTTGCATCTTGTTAGAATTAGTTGCAACCTTTGCGATACAAAGTCACAGAGTTGCAGGATTGCAAAAGATTGTAAGAACGCAATATCACGAAATCATATAGTTGTAAAATTGCTAAGTAGCTATAAGTTGTGTAAATTTGCTATATGAAAGTTAATATGAGGCCATTCGCATATGGCTTCCTACATCAGGAGATTAAACAAGGTAGGTATATACGGTACACTTCGGCAACTAAAAACCGCGTAATTCTTCACTACCTTCGACAATCTACAGGTACACGAAACTGCGAAACTAATTATTTTTTAACAACTGCAGAAATAGTCATCAATAAAAAACAATGAGTAAAATAACCAATTTATCGCCTTCGTCAAAGATAAAGATGCATAAATAATTGCGATTCTGTAAAATGTCAAGGCACTCAAATACGAATTTATTCAAATAATCTTGCATCTTCATTTGCATCATTCTCGGAAAGTTCTTCAATATCATTGTCGTCATAATCATCTGTTTTGCTTCCATCTCTTTAATCATCTTGAATTTCCATATCATTCTTACTTTGGATTTGTTTTGCATTTAGTTGTGTCTATAATAGTATAAAAAAGTAATACTTAATAAAAAGCTTATTAGATATAAATATTTATAAATGAATACTTGTCAGGAAAATAACAATATTTTTCAATGGACTCTTCAGTGCACTAAATATTTTTACCATTTGGATTTAATAAAAATGCAGCAGATTGAAAGCGTAAAGGCAATTAGTGGTGGTTTTAAGTAATCTTCCTAAACATAACCTTTATAATAATCATATTAATAGTTGTAAGATTGTTATCATCAACGTTCCATAATTAATTATATGCTTCAAAAGCTTGAGAACTTATTTTTCATTTTGTAATTTTTGTGTTTACATTTGTTTTTGCTCTCTGGAACTTTAGAGAAAATTTTAAAAAGTGCAAGTCATATATCTTTAGCAAATGTACTTTGATGATGTCCTATTTATTTTTTCAAGATACTACAAAGTTTAAATTGAAAAATCACTAAAAAGATCATTATTACAAGTGTTATAATTAGGGATTTTATATGTATTATTACTTATTATTGGTCGTCTCATTAAGCATGATTTACCAACTTGATACATTTGAATTAAAATATAATTACACAAAATTTACATATTAACTTGCAATTAAATAAATATATTTAATATTTGAAGATTTATAGAATATATTTATTAATAAAAATTAAATTAATTTTTGATTATATATTGGTTAAAAAAATCTCAAAGTTGGTCAATTTTTTGAAAAAAAAATTAAAAAATTAAAATTTTTTGTTATAATTAAGTATTTTTTGTACTACTACACAAGTATCTTGGTGTAACTTTTGTGTATAAACCTACAAAATTTCAACTATGATTATTATGTAAAAAAAGAAGTTATAATAAAAAGAAAATTACTTATTTAAATTAGTTTATTTTTTTTTTTAAAAATATTAAGGTGAGTACTTGCAACTCAGAATTTTATTGATAG